TTTTTCATGATGTATAAAAAAAAAAAAAAAAAAAACGAGCGCGCGCATGTGACCGTTTTTTTCCTTTTTTGCATTTATTCGTTTTTAATTTTTTTTTTTTTTTTTTTTTTGTTCTCTTGGTGAAGAAGCGAGAAATAATCAAAACAATTTCTTGTATCGCATAAATACACGTAAGTGGAGATTGCGTTTGGCATCGATGCACTCTTGTATGCACTATGCTACGGAGACTACGGAGAGCCGTGCGGATTGTGATTTTCCGCGTAGAGTTAAATCAATTGTAATCAGTATTTTTGTATCTTTCTCGAACAAAATACGTAAGATTCTTGTAACTTTTGTCGTGAATCGCGCGTGAGAAAGGTTATTTAATTATACACCATGGGGTTATGAGCAAATTGTCGGTAATTTGTCGACTGACTGCGCAGGTGATATCCGTTATATTGTTATTCCAAGCAAGCACAACGTTATACCGCTCATACACACACACACACAATATATATATATATATATATATATATATATATAAAAATAGCATATGGCAAGTTCAATCGGTACAGCAGGTTTCTTTTGCATTTTACTAAAAAAATTTCTAGAGTTCAAGTCACGTTACAAATTCTACGAAGCATTATTCTATCTTTCTTCTGCATTCAACTGATAGTATGTTAAAAATCATATAAATAAAAAAAAAAACCAGTTCTAATGACTGCGCTATAAAAGCCTAATTGGAGCTAAACACATGTTATAAATATAACATACATTCTTTCTTTCTCTCATATCTAACGATTCCATATCCTTTATATAGTACAGAGCAGAGATTTTTTTTCATGTTTTGCATATACAAACAAAAACATAGAATATAAATACACTTTTATCAAAACTTAAAATAGAATTTAGATTCTTGAAACACATATTTGTGATTATTTGTTTTTATGTAACACGGTAAAATATCTTTACAATCTACAAAATTAAATTCTAATAGATTTGTTTGTTTAGAAATTTTTGTTACATAAACGTTATAATACGTTATAGACTTCTATAATAATAATCGAAAGAAATATGAAAAGAGAAACAAGTTTTAACTGGATGTTTACTTTTGTTTTTCTGTATATATTTTAGAATCATGCCTCCCACCGTGTCGCAAGTTGAACAAAATTTGAAGTACAAAGAAATATCTCGCAGTAGAAAGTTTGACGAGATAGAAGAAACAGCTGAAACAAATGAATTGGAAGCTGACACAGGAAATTTGACTATGTCGGATTTACATTCTAAGCAAGTAGCAAAACGAAAAAGAGCGAGTACTGAAGAAAATGATCCTCAGTGCCAAGCAGAATCGAGTCAAACTACTACCACAGTGGAAGTGGACAAAGAAAATAATAATCCACAAATAAATCAAGATGAAATAGTAGAAGAAAATGTCGAAAAGAGAAAGAAGACGGAAGGCAAAAAAGAAAAAAGAAAATATAGATCCAAATTAAGATCCAAAAATACATCTTTATCACAATCTGCTAAAGCCAATCGATGCAATTATTGTAGACAAGATTTGGAGGAAATACACTTCTATCCGGGACACCCAAATAATGCAGAAGAAGAAGCTGTAGCTTTAATTTCATTTACGATGGACAAAGATGAGCAGGACGTAGAATTTGAAAGAGAAGAAGATCGTAGACCTATAATTAAGTTGACCAATTTTAGGTACGTCTTTTTGTACAATAATTTTGTTAAGATATATTTATAATTGTATAATAAAATCTGTAATGCGCTGATAGTGGTTCAAAGCAATAGATATTATATTTGAACATTTTATACATTTCTCTGTATTTCATAATTTTTGTTACAGAAGTTAATTGTTTAGGTACCTTTAATTATACAGAAAATTTCTTTTTTAGCGTCTATGACGAAAACGGACATCTGTGTCCTTTTGACACAGGTCTAATAGAGAAGAATGTATTATTATATGTTTCTGGATATATGAAGTTTATTTGGGAAGAAGATTCCTCACCTGAGGGTGGTGTGCCAGCAAAAGAAATGGGTCCAATTGTCGCATGGTATACTACTGGATATGATGGTGGAGAACTTGCATTAATAATTTTTGCTACACAGTACGCGGAATATTATTTAATGGAACCGTCTGAAGCTTATGCGCCATTTATGAATACTGTTAAAGAAAAGATATACATAAGTAAGTTGGTCATCGAATTTTTGCTGGATGAAATTAGTCCAACTTACGAGGATTTGATAAATAAAATTCAGGTAAGTTTGTCATTAGTTTTTGATATTCTTTGGCATTTTCTCTCGAAGCTCATATTTTATAATTGTGTTATCATAGACAACAGTACCTCCTAAAAATATGAAGCAGTTCACTGAAGATACATTGTTACGCCATGCACAATTCATTTGTGATCAAGTTTTATCTTTCGATGACGCCGCCGAGTCTGACGACGATCTTTTCATAACAACTCCTTGTATGCGATCTCTGGCAAATTTAGCCGGTATTATTCTCGGCAGAGGGAAATTTATTCGGATGACTCATCATCAAAGGCATCAAAGGAAATTAAGTAAAGAAATTAAGAAACAAACTTGGTCGAAGGCTAGTACAACAAAATTGGTCAGCGATATGTTTGAAAATATTTTTGCCGACCAAATTGCTGAGCATGATACAACATCAGTATGTATTATCATCTTATTGTTACTTTTTGTGATAAAGTTGTTGGAAAATATCTCAAGTATTTGTTTTTCTAGGGACCTAGAAGACATCGATGCGGTGTTTGTGAAAATTGTTTACAACCCGATTGCGGAGAGTGTAGTAACTGCCGAGATATGAAGAAGTTTGGTGGGAGAGGAACAGGAAAACAAGCGTGTAAAAAAAGAAGATGTCCAAATATGGCAATCCAGGTATTGTTTCAGTTTTTAATAAGAAAATACAAGAGATGTGTATATATTGTACATCTTATTGTGTATGTGTTGTAATATTTATGTAAATGTTAATATGCAAATATATAGGAAGCGGATGATTCTGATCCGGAAAATGTAGAACAATTTGATGATTTGAATGAAGAAGAAGTAGAAACAAAAGTAAAAAGAGACTTTAAGGAAAACTCATGTCGAAATCGTGAAATTGTATGGGAAAAGAAGGAAGATAAAATTGTTGATGGACGAAAAACATATTATAAATCAGTCATGGTTGGAAATGAAAAAATCGAAGTAAACGATTGTATTCTAGTGGAGTCAAATAGTCCGACAAATCCTTTCCACATTTATAAAATTGTGTTTATGTGGGAAAATGAGAATGGAACAAAACAACTTCATGGAAATTGGTTTTATAGAAGTGACCTTACCGTACTTGGGGAAACTGCGAATCCTAGAGAATTGTTTTTGAGCGACTACTGCGATGATATACCCGTTTCATGTATTAAATCAAAGGCAAATGTTATTTATAAGAAAGTGCCTGAAAATTGGTTTGAATTAGGTAAACAAATATTGAACAAAAACATATATGCTTGTTAAATTCAGTTTCTTACATTTTATTTTATACACGTGTATACAATATTGTATGTGTTATAGGTAATATTGACGTAGAAGATGAAATAAAAAATGTAGATGATAGGACGTTCTTTTATAAGATGAAATATATAGCTGAAAATGGTCGATTTGTGGACCCGCCACCGGAAATCGAATGTCCGAAAGATCGGAAAGAAAACATTCATCGATTTTGTCCTGTTTGCCATCAAAATACAACAATGGAACATCTTCAGATACCTAAAGTACGAAATACTATTTAAAAAACTTATATATATATATATATATATATATATATTATGTTTTTGCTATGTTAGAGATTATTCCAAGATTCTGAGAAATTTATTTTTTCTTGTTTGCAAAGGCCCCATATAGCCAATTCCTTTTAAATAATATATTGAATTATTTCTTCTTGTTTAGGTATATGAACTAATAGAACAAAAAAGCAAAAAGGAAGTGATCTACGGAGTAGTGAAATATAGAGGTCAAGAATATAGAGTAGGTAGCGCGGTGTTTTTATATCCAAATGCTTTTAAATACAGTCGTATACGGAAATTCCATACGACAGTTTCAAATCCAAAGAACGAAGTAGATGAAGAAACGTATCCGGAATTTTATAGAAAAAAGTCGGATCCCAAAAAAGGGACATACTTATCCGAACCTTTTCATATTGGTTATATAAATACAATATACGCTACTACAACTAGTCGATTAGTTGTCGCCTCGGATATTTATATCAAAATAAATAAAATGTACAGACCTGAAAATACTCACCGGGATTCAGATTTAATACACCAAACAGACCTTAACATGGTTTACTGGAGCGACGACAGTAAGTTATGATAATATTTAAGAAGTTTTTTTATATTTTAAATATTCTTAATATTATTGATATCAAAACTATACACGTAATAAGTATAAATTTATAAATATTCAGAAAAGAAATAAGTTTTAATATCTATATATTTTTTTTCAAATATGTCTGATTGTGTGTCTCATTGTAGTATGCAGCGTACCATTCTCTACTGTTGCCGGCAAATGTTATCTGGCGTATTCTGAAAATTTGAGCGAATCTATCGAAGAATGGTCCTCTGCTGGTCCAAATAGATTTTATTTTTCCGAGGCGTATAACTTTAAAGAGAACAAGTTCGAGGATCCACCTGACAATGTTGTTAATATATTTAAAACTAGCAAAGGAAATGGAAAAAGTAAATTAAAGGCAAAAAATGTAAAAACTACCGAAAACAAGCCAGTTTTAGATAAACCTGTGGATTATCCTACTGTGAAGAGAAAATTGAGAACGTTTGACATTTTTGCGGGTTGTGGAGGTAAAATACAGATTATGCAGTACAAACTTTTACTAAAAGGAATATACTACACATCTTGATATGATAATTATGTTATAATTTATAAATTATGCTTAACTCGCAGGATTATCCGAAGGATTGAAGCAAGCGGGAGTCGCTGAAAGTTTATGGGCGGTAGAATATATGGAGCCTATGGCAAATGCATATCGTTTAAATAATCCGAAAGCTATAGTATTCACGGACGATTGTAATACATTATTACGAAAAGTGATAGATGTAAGTTTGTATTATATCATTAGTATGTAATAATTTTTGCTTAATATACAAATATTATTATTTTTTTGTTTCGATAATCTAATAAAATATTTTCATTTTTTAGGGCGAAAGTACAAACGACAAAGGTCAGAAACTACCTCAGAAAGGGGAAGTTGAATTCATGTGCGGTGGACCACCGTGTCAGGGTTTCAGTGGCCTGAATCGTTTCAACCGACGCCAATATTCATTATTTAAAAATTCCCTCATTGTTACGTATTTATCGTTCTGCGATTATTATAGGCCGAAATTTTTCTTAATGGAAAATGTGCGAAATTTCGTTTGCTACAAGAAAGGTATGGTGTTAAAACTGACTCTGAGATGCCTCGTTCAGATGGGTTATCAATGTACATTCGGTGTTCTTCAAGCCGGCAATTACGGAGTGCCACAAACAAGAAACAGGTTTTTTTCTATTTTCTATTTTACTCGAAATATCATAATGTTGCTTGATTTCTTGTTATTAATGGCAATTTAACAATTTATAGAATGATACTCTTAGCCGCTGCACCTGGAGAAATACTCCCGAATTATCCAGAACCTACACACGTGTTCAATATTTCGAAGTATTGCTGTACTTTTGTGGATAATAAAAAGGTATTTTTTGATATTTTCTTATTTATGATATATTTAAATAAATATAGTTTGCTAAATAGTTTGCTGCAATGTTAAAAGTTTGTTAGCAATGAATATCAGAAAATTCTAAGAATAATTACACTTTTTTTTGTACTACACGCATTTTAGTACGTCACCAATTGCGCCTGGAGAACAAGCGCACCATATAGGATGATCACGGTGAGAGATTCTATGTGCGATTTACCGGAAATAAAATGCGGTAATACCAAAGAAGAAATGTCTTATCTAAGCGAACCACAAACGCATTTTCAAAGAAAGGTAAATACGTCAAAGAAAATCTTTCAATATATAGTTTTTTTGTTTTTCTCTCCCTAAAAGACGACTGTTTGAATGTGTAATCACAAAATTACATTTCGTTTCGTTTCAGATGAGAAACAGACAAGACTCAGTATTAACAGACCATATATGTAAAGAAGCGACAGCCTTAATGGAGGCGCGGATGAAATATATTCCAACCGCACCCGGTTCCGATTGGCGCGACTTGCCGAATATCAGGGTGCTCCTGAGCGATGGGACCTACACAAAGAAATTGTAAATTTGATATCAATTGTATAATTTCTTATTTTCTTGTATATTCAGACTATCTGATCTTCGACTCTTTTTTTCTTCAGGGAATATCTGTATCATGATAAGAAAGCTGGAAAAAGTTCGACGGGCGCGTTGCGCGGAGTGTGCAGATGCAGTACTGGCGCATCTTGCGATCCTACTGATAAACAATTTAATACTTTGATCCCATGGTGTTTGCCGCACACTGGAAACCGACATGGTCATTGGGCGGGTTTGTACGGAAGACTCGAGTGGGATGGATACTTTGGCACAACTATTACCAATCCGGAACCGTTGGGCAAACAGGTAATGTGAACCGAAATAAATAACATCTCTATTTGACTATATAATAGATCTGTGAATCTTAAATATTTCAAAATCAATATTTGTTTATATAAAATTTTAATATAAAAATTTAGTATAAAAAGTAGGATTATTATATTTCCTTGACTTATTAAAATAAGCAAATTAACTCTTCTCCCGTTGCCAATTTCTCGGATGTCGTCTCGAAACGGACTTCAAATGCGACAATTAATATTTTTTCAGGGCCGCGTCTTACATCCATCGCAAAACAGGCTTATAAGCGTGAGGGAATGCGCAAGATCCCAGGGATTCCCAGACTCGTTTCGTTTCTACGGCACTATAATTGACAAGCATCGACAGATCGGCAACGCGGTACCACCGCCGTTGGGAGTTGCTATTGGATACGAGATAAAAAAATGCATATGCGATAATAAAACAGATCAGTCAGAAACTGCACTTGCGGAAAGCCGCGCCGAAACCGCAATCAGTGCGAACGTCGACAAAACTAACGAAGCTGTCGCGTCAAGGACAGCACCGGATCGGATCGAAGGCAATCTGGATGAAATGGCTAGCACCAGCTCTATGCAATTCACATGAAAAACTCGTTTGCGTGAAATTTACGTAAGAATGTCTAAAATGCGTCCGCTTTGAGCGTTCACGCGCTTTGAAGTCTATCTTTGACTGACGCTTAAAACACGCAAGCGCTCAAAGCAAACACGTTACTCTTAAAAAGAGAACCTGCATAACCATAAATATCAATAATTTTAAAATCCTTTTTATCACAGGGCATAATAGTTCTTTATTCTTTTACATATGTTTAATTTTCTGCTTTTCTTCCCATTTTAAATTCTATTTTAACCGAAACTACTACTCAGTATTAAATAACCAATTGTAGGACATATTTGATCTAATTTGTATATTGATAAAGATGTGATGAGAGATCTTACCCCTACACAGCAAAATATATCATAAAGATATCTGGAAGATATCTAAATATCAGAATATCTGATTGCGTAAATACTAGTCAGATATCACTGAGATATCTGATTTACATCTCAGATATACTTTGCTGTGTGGGTATTATATATGATAATTATACCTAGAAATTTACTAAAAATTTTCACATGTAAGAATGTTAAAATAGATTTATAAATGTTATATTGCAATTGGATTATTGTTGTTTTTATCAAAAAGTGCTCAACTTTATATTTCATCATTTGCGCGGTTCTTAAAATTGAATTATTTGCATCTCGATACAGAAGGGTTTATCTTTTTATATACACAATACATGTTGATCTTTTTGTATATATAAATGTACGTATTACTAAATATATATATAGAAAGATATGTTTTTCATACAATACATGTATTAATATATAAAAAAAGATATAGGTTTTATACATCTTTATATAAAACCTAAAATAATCAAATTCACACACGTAGCTCATGTTTTATATTTAATAATAATTTTAAGTTATAGTAATAATTTTTTTATTGATTTTAACTTTTAAGATTAAACAAAATACAAAGGTTTTAGTTTAGTACGTAAGTAAAAATTTAATACATTTGTAAGTAATTATCTCAATACAATTTTAAGTTTTCTTTTTTGTTAAATTAAAAACCGAGAGAAAACAAAGTTTGTAAGTAAAATGTGTACGTATACAATTATAATTCATATACAGTTGTTTGATTGTTTGTTAGTTCGAATAATATGTTCTTAAGGAATATATTTGTACATCTTTGACGAGTAATAAAACATATGCAAAATACGAAAAATTATACGTGTAAATATCCAAGTATTCTGTATTGCACATTGACAGATTAATCATTTTTCGATAAGCTTTGTTTATTTCAAAACCTCGCCTAAAGAGAGAAAGATTGCGCAACAATTTTTCCTTTTTTTTTTTTTTCTGTAATTTATATTTAGCTGCACTTTAAAGCACGTGTAGAGAGTCTCTCAGGAAGAGTTGCAAACTCGTGACGACACACACTGGACAGTTTTTTCCTCTGTTCAATCAAAAGCGACTATCTTTCTGAGAAACTCTATTGTTCAGTGGGCAGCTTTTCTTCTGTCCAATCAGAAGCGACTGTAACGTCACGAGTTTGTGATTTCTTCTATTTTCTCGTGTCACATTTTTCACAAAGAGAATTGTGTGCGATACAGAATAGAATTTTACTTTATCAGGTGATTTTTAATTAAACCCGAAGGTGTGATCGAACTCACCTTAACCGTCCTAACCTATTTGGTGATTTAAACAGCAGAATTGCCATCGATAAAATTTCCACACTGTATAAAAAAATTTGACGCTTTCTCCCTATATATAATCTGATATCTCTTTCCACATATCGCGCGATAGATGTACTATCAGGTTAAGCAGATGTAGTTTATACATTTTTTAAAAACTGGTGTTAATATAATTCTAAAACCCGTAAAATATTTATAAATACTTAAGATATTACCGTGTTATTTTACACATATTGGCAACTCTGAATTCGCCGGCAATTTGACGATTTGTTTTCACATTTCTCAATTGTCAATCGTGCGGCAGCGCAATATTGTATCACATTGCACCACATAATGGAATCGAGTTATTTTCAAAACATCGTCAACGTCAAATTTAATCGAGATTTCGATGGGTACATTCAGTACGGAACTGCTGGCTTTCGAACGAAGTAAGTATTAAACTTTTGAAATTTTATTAATTGCGTCCGTGCGAAAAACACTTGTTGATTTTGTTGTATACAAAGTATCTTGACAAGTATCAAGAGGCTGTTTTTTAAAAATATTGATAAAATTGCAGAAAGTAACAACCCCCTTTATATAATTCTCTGTTATTGCTTATAAAATAATATTTGTCTAACTACGTTATTTTTATTTCTCACACGTGTATCCATTTCAGAGCTAGTGTTCTGAAACACGTTCTATACAGAATGGGCCTTTTAGCTGTGTTAAGATCGAAAGTAAAGAAAGGTAAGAGATCAAAAGCTTGATTTTTTTTTTTCTAAAAAAAATTCACGTTTTATCAAATATAAATTTCTTACAGCCGCCGTAGGTTTAATGATTACCGCAAGTCACAATTTGGAGCACGATAACGGCGTCAAACTTGTCGATCCAAACGGTGAGATGCTCGAAGCTTCCTGGGAGACGATAGCTACGAAGTTAGTTAACGCACAAGACAGCGACCTGATAGCTACATTGAGTCGCATACAAGTGGAAGAAAATATTGACTTGTCGGTACTAGCTACAGTGATAATTGGAAGAGACACGCGTAAAAGCAGTATTTCGTTGTTACACGCCGCGATCGAAGGAATCACAATCTTAAACGGCACCGTTGTGGATCTGGGACTGGTTACAACTCCGCAACTGCATTACGTTGTAGTGTGCACCAACACCAACGGTGCTTACGGAGATCCGACACTACAGGGTTATTACACGAAACTTGCAACGGTGTTCAAGAGACTAAGGAGTGCCGAGAAACACAACGGAAAATACAGAAATGAGATATTTCTGGACGTTGCGAACGGTGTTGGTGCTATCGCGGCGAAAGAATTGCTGAAACACATGGGAACTGATGCAATGAATGTCACTTTGTTCAACGATGGGGATGGAGAGTTGAATTTGAAGTGCGGCGCGGATTACGTCAAGGTGCAACAGGAACTACCTTTAAACGCCCCGTCCGAACCGAACGTCAGATGCGCCAGTATAGACGGGGATGCCGACAGACTCGTGTACTTTTACGCAGATCGTGAAAATAAATTTCATCTTTTGGACGGCGATCGAATAGCGACCTTGGTGGCCGCTTATTTCAAGGAATTATTAAAAACAAGCGGTTTGTCCTTAAAATTGGGCCTGGTGCAAACCGCGTACGCCAACGGCGGTTCGACCGATTATATTTCAAACGTGTTGCAAGTTCCGGTTGCGTGCGTGCCAACCGGTGTAAAGCATTTGCACAAAAAAGCGCAGGAATTCGACATCGGAATTTACTTCGAGGCGAACGGGCACGGAACTGTTGTTTTCAAAGATGCCGCTAAAGAAACTATCAAGAATCATGCCGGGAACGCTACGCTTTCGGAAACACAAAGAGAAGCCTCTACGAAGCTGAGAGACGTGATCGATTTGATAAACGAAACAGTCGGCGATGCTCTGAGCGACATGCTGTTAGTCGAAACGATATTACATGCCAAGGGCTGGGACATTATTGAGTGGGAAAAAAGTTACACTGATCTACCGAATAAGCAACTTAAGGTCCAAGTCAAAGATAGAAATGTTATAACGACAACGAACGCGGAAAGATGTTGCTTAACTCCACCTGGTTTGCAAGAAGAAATCAACAAAGCTGTCGCGAAGTATCCAAAGGGTCGAAGTTTTGTCAGGTATAATACGCACAAAATATCTTTGATATTATAAAAAGTCTTATTTATATAAATACAACGTTTTTTCTTATTCAACAAAAACTCGATAAATAAAATTTTGAACAAGTAACGCGCAAAAGAAATTTCAATTGTAATTTTTTTTGCAGGCCTTCTGGAACCGAAGACATTGTGCGAGTATACGCGGAAAGTGAGAACTCAGAAGATGCCGACAAATTAGCCACGGAAGTAGCTTTACTTGTGCAAAAACTTGCAGACGGTGTCGGATTCAGTTAGATCTTATCGTCGCAATAGGATTATTAATATCCGTTATCGCACGCGATCGTACATGATAAGTCGATAATAATTGGAAAATAATTGCTCAGTTTTGAATTCACACATATCACGTCTTAAACTTCAATATATTTATAAACAGAGTCTGATAAACACATAAAACAGTATTAAAAGTTATTTTTCTACAGATGTGTTGAAAAATAAGATTTTAACACTGGATTAACTTCTATTTTTTTAACTTTTAAAAAGTTGAAATGTCCTATAATACGCATATACGTCGTATTTTTATAACTTGACTTATATTGCATTTATTATTTGTGTAGTAACTCTTCAAGCGCTTTTATAAATTTACACTATTTGTGACTGATAGTTTATCGTTAATATAAAAAAAAGGATGGGATAAGGATGAAAGAGGAATACAAACACAAATAAACTTTGTATACTATATTTAAGTACTTACCACTTTCTTACTCGCCCGCTTTAGAGCAAGAATATATAATTCTATGACTGACTAGCCGAGAATTTTTCGAGATTTGTTTTTATATAAGAAGCCTAGAATTAAAAACATAAGGAGAAAGAATATAATGCGAAGTTTTTTATCTTTAAACTTGACTTAAATATTTATTATTTTCTGTAACAAAACTATCTCAATACAATGCATAAAACAAAACACTCATGGGTGATAGTTTGTAATTTCGTATTTTGTACCTGTTTGTTTTTTTTCTGTCAGGTTAAGACATTCTCTCCGCGCCCAGGCGTTACTGTCTTTTCCTCTTTTCACACCTAACTCTCCTTCCGGGCAACAAGTTCACGATTTGTGAAGTTTATCAGGAGTTCCCATTGAGCTCATCTCAATGTCCGTCAGTCTGTCCTCATCCCGCTTGAAATCTATTAAAAAAGTATTTATATAGAACATGTATATATGACGATCTTACTAATTGAGGGCTTAATGTACTGTAACTAGCTTGTAGCACTATTTTTTTTGTATGAATGCCAGCTATTATTCGGAGCAGTTACTGATAATTAGTAATATGCAATTGTCGTAAATTTCTTCACTTTACAAATTGATTATTAAAAAATTACTATTTATATTTTCGTATTATTTAAATTTTATACTATTTATATTTTTGTATATTAAAATGAGAAAGAGTGTATTTTTGAAAATTAAGTATAAGTTCTAGTGAGAGAAACGTGATACGTCAATTGAACAGTTAATAGGAGCGCTGTACAGGTCGACAATTTGAGAAAATCATTTCTGCAACATTCTTCTACCGACACCAAGATATACGATGTGTTTCGCAGACATATACCATAACTTATTTATGGCGCTTTAATTTCATCGCGAACGAACGGGTTGAAAACGAACTTCCAGAAATTACTTTTGTGGAAACAAATTCGCCGGTAATTAGACATATTAGCGAACAAATGATTCGCAGATTCCGGCAATAACAAAAAACCAAAAAACAAAAAAAAAAAAAAAAAAAAAAAAACAATATGCATCTTTTCCAATTCACGCATCGCATTTATGTATCTTACGCTCTAATTCCATCTCGTAAATAAACGCGTTTCTTTAATGAAGAACGTGATAAAGAGTTTGACACAAGTTTGCAAAGTTTACTTCATAAAACTTTCAAATAAAAGCAGTAAGATATTTGAATTTTCTTATTAAACTTTATGTAACAAGACATATTTGATATATAAATTTGACTTATAAAAATATTTAAGTCAATATTTAAACTCGTATTAATTCACATCATAAAATATTCAAGTTTAAAATTATTAGAACTATATAAACATATTTAAAAGTTCAAAAATATTGTTTAAAGTTTTGTATTTGGAATATTATGAAAGTATTAAATTTTCAAAATAATTAGTGAATCAGAGAAGAACTGAAACTCGGACAGAAAATTTGACATGAAAAAAATGTTCATGTAAGAATTTAGAAAAAAAACATAATCAAGATCTGTCTCGCGATAAATATATTCAAAAGAGAAAAAGTATTAAATATTTAATAAAAGACACTATGCGAATAAGTTGCAAAGATAGAATTAGAGTCGATGCATTTCTATCGCAAAATCGCAGAGCATACGGAGATTATCAAAAAGCAGCCGCTTTTTTTTTCTTTTTTTTTTTATAACGCGCGCATATATATATATATATATGTATATATATGATTCTCTGGTAATCGACGGTTCTTTGTTTTTCTCGTAACAGTTCTTCGTTCTTTTTTGTTCGACCGGACATTCTCCATTCGCATTTATGGAATCATCGATAATACTATAGCAGTAGGCCCGAGGGCGCTTGGTTTTCTCTCAACAGATAAAGTATTAAAAAAACTCGCACGCGTTAAACATACCTTCTTGCTTCAAATTCAAAGCACGCCAGCTTTGAGCGCAAACGCAATTTGTGGCGCATTATCCATATATCGCAGGTTGGTTTATTCGCCAATCGTCGCATCTATCGGGTAGCCACGCATAGCGAGTAATCGTCGTAATCGGTTTCTTCAATAATCGCAGGTCGCCGCAAGCCGCCAGCAGGATAATGTACGGTAAACGCATTCACCGCACATTCACAAACCGACGTTTCGTCCTAACTAAGTAAACTGCACCAGCTAGATAGTTGACGTTATGCATTGTTATCAAGAGTCGTGTACTTTTCATGTTTACTTGAAAAAAAAAAAAAGTACTTCACGTTTTAACACTGTTACCCAGATTAAGTTTCAGGTTTTTTAATGAAGCACGTTTTTACACATTTATTAACTCTGTCAAAACTTATAGAAAATAATTGAATATTACAATGCACAACGTTGTAAATTAAAAATTAACATTAAGTATCATAATTGAACGCACGCTGTGATTACTATAAAATTTCTTTCGTTCGCTCCTATGAATGGCGCGAGAATTAATATATGTTGGCTAGATAATAAACGTTAACTATATAAGCCGATGATTTTTTTTCACGAAATATAAATTTAGCATTTTAATTGTTAGTATACGAAGATTTATACTTCAACACAACTTAAAAAAAAAAATGAAAAAAAAATCATATAACAAAGAAAAAAAAAACAAAATACACAAACACAATATATTTTAAAAACAAAATAAACAAATCGTGTAAAACAAGTTCCAGATTGCGAGAAAAATGTTAAATTACTTTCTTTGTGTAACATGTGTAGTGATAGAATTCACAAATATACAAAACTTAGTAATAATAAATTACGTGCAAAGTGACTGAAAGAAAAAAATAAATTATATATGTGTATATATGTATCTATTATATAAGAGATTTTGTAAAGATTATATAATTTTAGGACACTCGTTTGCACTTTATTTGTTTTTATACGTTTAAAGGTACATTGTGTATGATAGTTGCTATATTTGTTTTTTTGTTACCCTATTAACGAACATCTCAAACATTCAAGTTCTTATGTGTATAAAAAAAAAAAAGATATTAAGCATTTTTATTGTATATATCACTTTCTTGTAGAATTAATTCTATGGGAGTATAAAAATACGATATACACGTAATATCTATGCGAGAGAAATGTGGGCATCAAAAGAGAAGAGCAAGCGAGAGGAAAACCCACGATATATAACATTCAAATCATTTTATTCATAGAAAAGATAATAAAGAAAAAATTAAAAACATAAACTGCACGAATATAATGTAATATCTAAGAGTCTTTCCGGAGAATAGGCAGAACAGACTCAAATAGGCTATAACATAAAGAATATACACTGTCGATTAAATTTATTAATCGATCAATTTATATGTATAAATTGAACTTATAGTGTAAAACTGAACTTTACGTTATAGGTACATTACATGTCATTGATGTTCCTTTTGTTTAACGTTTTTTTTTTTAGAAGTACAAATAAACATTAGAAGATCTATAAGTTATATATAGTTTTCATTATTATTATATATAAACTCAATGTGTTGGCGCAGATTTCCTAGATAATCCGTGATCAAATAATCAGCGGGTAAAAGGCGTTATTTTTTTTTTAAGATCTGTTTTTTGTGGGTTTTTTTTTTTTTTTTTTTTTTTTTTTTTTTTTTTTTTTTGTTTTATTTTTTTACGGTCGCCTTTCGCGTGCGCTCGAGCATTTGCTTTAGTGTACACGTTTAGTACCTCGGTGGCATTGCGTCTGCCGGACCTGGGAAGCTAAAAGGTCAGAAAATGAAAAATCGCAGAATTAATCACGTGATCGCCTTGCTGTTTATGCAAGGGGCAAGGAGAAAGTATAAGATGTAACACTGGCGTGCGCGATCGACGTGAAACGCGTGTCCAAATGCGAGTTCGAACATACAATTCCGATAGCTATTATAATTCGAAGACGAGGAAATCACGATTATTCGTAGTTATTTCTCTTAACGTCTCGCAGCACACATTGCGCACATTTAAAAATCTAAAGTTACCCAGATCTGGGTAAGATTTTGTCGTTCCACGTGTGTGTATGTGCGTGTGTATGTGTGTGTGTCACATTTCTATTGCTGAATTCTTCATATCTTTATACATTATGCTAAATTATGTTACAACACAAGCAACATTACAAGAAAAATCAAATCCAACTTTCGGTTATTCGCAAAAAGATACACACGAGAGAGAAATAGGTACGATATTTTTACGTAGTACGTTTTTTGCTTTTTGCGCACATTAATGTATTATTACTACACAACGTTTATTATGATATAGCATATTATATCAAGATATAGAAAACTTTGTCGTATTTTGTTCTTACAAATATATGTGATAATGTATAAGTTTGCAAAGTTAAGAAACACTCCACAGTTAATCGCCAATGATATTCACACCCAGTTCTGATTAACTGTTGTACATTTAAGAAGCTTGCTACGTCGCAATCATTAGTGTCAATCGGCACTGTCGTAAGTGCGTTCGAAAAACTGATTCCATAATCTCCGTGGAGAGCAGAAGAGATGTTAAATCTCATCACGACGTCGGAAGACGTTTTATCGAACTTGACCGTAGCCGCAACGCAACGCATTATTTTTCGATCTGTTTCTCTAAACAGAATCGGCATCTCGGGATATGCGAAAGACGGAAGGGGTGGGAAAGAGCGAGCGCGAAAAATGTGCATTTTTTAATGATTTTTCGCAGACTGCGAGTTTTGCTGAGAGAGCGCTGTATCGCGATAAAAATTATATCGCGATGTATAAAAAAAATCGACGATGTTCGAAGGTTCGCGGAAAGATCTCGAGACGTTCGTCCGCGAACTGCAGAATTAATTTTCGAAGAACATTACGCTATGGAAGAAACTTGTTCTTATCCGAAGATGATTTCGCGTGTGCGTTTTTTTTTTTTTTTGTTTTCTTCGGTCGCAACGTTACGGAATTGCCGGCGGAACGCATAAGACAGATAGGCTTAGATATCTCAGATAGTTGAGATAGAAAACTCATCGCGGAGTACGTAAAAGAAGAGAGGTGACGTATCATAGACTTGAATGTGGCAATCGAGTCCTCAAGTTGATAACTACATACTACAAGCATCGTGTGTAACGATGAAAAAGTAAAATGTACAAAATGTACAAAAAATTCTATAAATGCATTCACTAGAAATTCATATTTCTTAAGTATGTGCTGTTCTTTGCAAAATATTTCTCTTAATTTATTATAATTAACGAAAGTACAGTCTGTGTAGAATGAAATTAAATATTGATTCGTTAACAAGTTTTTGTATAAAATATACCAACTTTATAATAAGAATTATATGTGAAAAACTTGATGATTTACGCGCGTGTTATCAGACGTGTAGGATTTTTAGCCACAGTCCAAACTTTCAGCCTCTGTTCTTTTTTACACTCATAAGATATAAACGCTCGCGAGATGATCAACGAAACAACGATCTGTTTGCGCAAAATAACGCGTATGTACACGACGAAAAAACAGATACGCTTCGATATACGGGCGGAGTGTCGCGCTAAGTGTCACACCTTATACTTTTACAGAAATATATTTAACCTGTTTGTCGAGATCCGCATAGAAACTGCACGATGTGTGTCGTACATAATCGAGAGACATATGTAGCGCAAAGGAGAACAGAGACGCCGACTTGATAAACATACGCACGTAGATTCTTGTCGCTTTTCAACGTCAACGTGTGTAGCGTTCACGATCGCAGTTTTGTGATGAAACGTTATGAGATGTGTTAATAAAGTACAACTTACCGTCCGCCGCCACGTGGAGGACCGTACGCGTCTGGTCTGTCATATCCCTCAGCATATCTGTAACGTGACGAACAAAGAAATGTATTCACCAGCCACATGAAAACAAATCAACATTTATCTAACAATTTTTGTCATGATTTGTTTACTCACCCGCCAGCAACTGGTGGATATCCACCACTGGGTACAGCACTGCCAGGTCTTCTGCTAAACATGTCGGCTTGCGGTCCTGGACCAGTGCTATAACTAGGTGCCCCAGTGCTGTAGCTAGGTCCAGTACTCATTGGCCTGTTAAATGTAGGTATATCATTACCGGAAGGATCATCCCTCCTTTCGTAGGCCATCGTAGTTGCCTGATTTACCCCCCCAGGCCCACCCATCATATCCCCTGGCCCGCCCGGATAACCCCTGTTATACATAATTTCACTTTGTTATCTTTTTTTACTCTATCCTGGGCAATATTTAGAATAATTACTACATTGCACACATTGCTGCAATATATGTGTATTACTTAATTTCTCCTTATGCAATTGTAAAAGCCTCTCTCAGGTTAGAATAAAAATGAAGCCTAACAAGCAATTTAAGCTAATTTTTAAATTTTGTGATATATGTTGTGTGGGCCTACAAATTTGGATAACTTCGCCTTTGCTTTGTCCAATTGCAAATGTAACTGTACTTGTATGTTCAGCAAACTTAACATACAGCAGTAAATCTAGCAGTTAAACTATATCAGATCAAAGCAATATGTAAAGAGTTAAAATTTTTTTTTTTTTTTTTTTATTACAAAACTCAAGTATCTTTAAAGATAGCTTGATTGAAAAGATGTGTAAAACCTCCCAAAGCAAATAATTCAATATAGAATTCAAAATTTTTCGGCAGAAATATAAAAAATATAAAAAAGCAAAATACTAAATTACATTACCAATGACTTTCATCGTATCCTACATCGGTGTACCCGGTTCCATATCCAGTGGTGGCAACAGCACCACCACCGTTTCTCATTGGTCCGGCTGCACTTCTGTCGTAATCATTTCTGGCGGTATAATCGACTGTGCGACTAGCGCCAAAATTGTCAGTGCGACCGTAATCTACCGGACCGGGTGCGCCACGATTGAAATCTCCGGCCATACCTCCGCCAACCGCTGTAAATAATGTAGCCATCAGATTGTGAATCAACCCGATATTTCGTGTTTGCTTCACTTGAATAGTCTGTGCCCTTTTGTCTTTCACGCGTCTCGTTATTACGCGAATTATAAGAGAGTAGAACAATTATTTTCTTTTAAAATCTACTGCTTCAAAGTACTTGTTCAACTACATTTTAAAATACAAAAATGTATGTATATAATATGTATATAATGTAGAGCGGTGTCACATAATTTTCGAAGCTGCGCAAACAACACTCATCTCACTCCAGTTACCATAATCTGTTCTACCGCCGAAGTCGGCGCGACCGTAATCAGCTGTTCGTCCGTAGTCCGCTGCTCCGGTCGGTCCGTAGCCACCTACAGCGCCGGCCGCCGGTCCATATCCACCACCCATTCCTGGTGCCGTCGAGGTGTAACCCATCGCCGCACCACCCACGTTCTGACCGTAAGCCCCACGATCAGCGTAGCCAGCGCCAAAGTCTGCCCCGCGGCCGCTAAAGTCGCCAGCTCCACGATTGTAATCGGTGTATCCAGTTGCGACACCACCTGCAGCAGATCCATCGTAACCAACGAGTTGGATCGGAAGAACTGCAAAGCACGTCGAGATATAGAATTGATTTTTAGTGCACATTGTCAAAGTCACGTCATATTTCATTCCAACATACTATTTTCTCAATTAGGCGCGCTCTGTAATAGAACGTTTATATTCGTTTGCAGGAAGATAACAATGATTTTCTTTACAAGGCGAGTTCCCTACACTTTACACTTACTGATACGAAAGGTGATAACTGTAGAAATGACGAAATAAAGCAAACATATACAAATGGTGTATTACCAAAACGCAACAGATTTAGAAAAATTAAGGGAAATTAAATGAGAAAATAGTCTTGTCGGAATTCGCAATTATTGATATAGAAACAATACCAACCTCTTCTATCATTATATGGTCCAGGACGAGCGTCTCTACCACCGTCTCGTCCTCCCCTACCACCTCTCATTGGTCCACCTCTTCGGTCGTCGCGGCGTCCGCCTCCACCTCCACGTGATTTTCCAGTTGACTGTTCCACATTGATCGTCGCACCTTTGAAGTTGGAATTGTGAAGTGCCTTGATCGCTGCTGCCGCGTCTTCCTCACGTGCCATGTGGACGAAACCATATCGATTCATGACGTCACATTCTGTTACCTCGCCGAAGCGCAAGAATAATTGTCGCAACTCATCATTGCGACAATTTTCTGGTAACCGGCCCACAAATATTTTTGTCTTTCTCTACAAAATGTAAAAGAATAATTATTGTACACTTCCAATAACACTTACAAGTATATATAATTTATATTTTTATTAACATATATGATTTTATATTTATTGATCAATCTTTTATTTTAATTTAATCTTTTATTAATTTCTAACAAAACTTTTCATCAAGATTTGTATCTTGAGATTCGATCATACAATCTATTACAGAAAGTATGGTGTCTGTCCAAGATTTACTATTGCTCAGTTGAAAAGTAAAATTTTACAAAATACATAAAAAATTACACAATATAAAAATTCACTGAGCTCTTTTTCTTTATGTTATTGTGACTAATAGATATAAAAACCAATATTAATTTCAATTCTTTACACCAAAATATTTATGCAATTTGTCATTTATATAAATACTTAGCAATAAAAAAAAAATAATTTTTATTATCTTACCGGTTGATTCGTTGAAACCATCTTCTGGAACAAAAGTCATCGAATTAAAATACTGTCATATATAAAAATATATAGCATAATGTAAACTTGTTATTTGTGCTTTATATTGAATAATTTTTCTGAGAGTGGCACACTTTTCTGTTAGATACTTTTGTTTGGTGTTAAAACACATTGAATAAGCAATAAATGTTTATCATGATTCCTACACAGTGTGCATGTGTGTTTGTGAAGATAACAAAACAATTAACTCTAATTAAAATTCTTTTACATGTTTTCTCATATATGTATATAAATTTACCAGCGATAAAACAATTCTTCCATATAAGAATTTTTTTATACAAATACTTGTATCTGTGATATTGTTACACTATTACATTGGTATTTTACACAGGTCAAAATGTCGATGATAATTTTGTTATGTAAGTGTTTTGTAAACATTAATATTAATAGCAATTTTGTTACATAAGTGTTTTATACACATTAATACAAATAAACTATCTACAAAGACAGTTTTTTTAAACATATTTTTTAACATTGTAAGCACAGAAAAGCATACATTTTACTAGAGAAAGGAGTCGAGAAGTTACAGTTAGAAAGAGATAGGCAGGGATTTAGTTTGCTCGAGGATATCGGGGTTGATTAAAATCTTGACCGATTATCATCAACGGACCTGAAAATCGCGTCATCCACAGTCATCCGGTGAACCAATGTTATCGAGATCAGGAGAGACCGGCGGTCACGTAATAAATGCAACACAATCGCATTGCTGAGCAACGCGCGCGAAACAAAACACAAAGAGGCGACAAATCACCAACATATATATAAAATAAGACACAATCGGCCCCGTCGACATGCCTACGTCCGGGATCGATCTCTTGCTACTTACTTGTATTTGCGACGTCTTGGCGAAATATCGAAAGCAAAGAAAAAAATGATGTCACGGCGCGACACGGCGCAAAAAGCGAGCAGAGAAAAGAGAGAAAATGAAGAGCAAAGCAAAAAAAAAAAAAAAAAATGGCGCAATCCACTTTTGTGCGCGTAGAACACAGCAAAAGCTTGGTGGCCGGAATGAAGTATTGCCAACCGTTGCTCGTGGAAAATTTTTACCGATCCCGCGATCAACTTCGCGTCGCTACGTGACGCCGATCGTTCAACTTATTGATCCTATCTCGCGGGAGAGCGAAGTTCGCGGGGACGACGCGACGCAAATCTCGCAGCTCATTCCTGTAGAGAGTGAAATATGCAAGAGAGAGAGAGAAAAAAAAAAGGGAAACGGGAGACAACACAGCGAGAAGAGAGAGAAAAAGAGTTCACAGAAATGATATTACCGTTCCAGGCGTGGACGTCTCCGTAGGAGCGTGGTAACCGACAGATGTATCCATTGAGGCGCGTAAAAAAGACAAAGGAAGAAACTGAAATCGACAAAGAATTCAACGCGCAAACGTTATTGGTTACACACGCGGTTGCTATATCACGGTTTGCTTAGCACGGAGATTTTGCAACTTACGTTTAAAAAATATAGAGGATTAGACACGAGTCGCGCGTGATGCCGTAGCTACGTCTCTCTCGTCGTCGCTTCTTTCACGAGAAACAGTGCGGCCAATCGTCTCGGGCGCGCGACTTTGTCCCCGCTCGATCTTCCTGTTCCGCTTCCACGTGTCCGGGCAAATTATAGTTCTCACGAAATTCGTCTCGTCATCGTCGGAGTTTCGAATCCCGACCAATCGAGAAACCGATAGTCCTAGTGAAACAAACACGCTCTTTCCTCCGATTGGTCGGAGATTTTTGGTGTTGGCAATTCGAGTCGAACTCCAGAGGTCACTTACCCGAAAAATTGATCAAGAAAAAGTTGGGTCAAAATAGGGCCGCTTTTGCATGAAGCGTAATTTGCGCAAGCCAATCCAAATTGTCTCAGATATCGTACACGCAAATACGCTGAGGGCGATGTCCCATTGAGCGGAAATCTATAGCGGAACGGAATGTGCGGAACCAGCTCGACCAATCGTAACCACAGAAAAAGCGAAGGAAAGAAAACGGAATGGCTATGATTGGTCGAGCTGGTTCCGCACATTCCGTTCCGCTATATATTTCCGCTCAATGGGACGTCGCCCTGAGACAATTTGATTGGCGTAATGTAAAAGCAGTCTCTTATAGCTGAGTTGGTGGAAAGGAGACGGAAGTATGTCCGCACTCTTTCACAAGCGCACACAAATGGCGGTTCTCGCGTGCGTATTCCCACCACCTCGGTGCTGGCTTGGCCGCTCTCAGCCTTCTATCCGCTATAAACTTTCTTGAACACGAGCCTTTAGATTTGACCTACACCAATGTTTTTTTAACACCTCGTTTTGAAAAAATATTGATTTATGAATATAGAATTTTTGGAACTTTAGAAAATTTTTATTTGACCACCGACACGTCGAAGTAAATTTTTGTTCTGTTCGATGACGTTTACGTAACATCAGCTTTGATGAAGGAACATACACAAAAATATGCTAGAACGCGAGCCTGCGCGTTGTATAAAGCAGTTGCGCGGATTGTGATTGCGGTCGTTTCGTCGTTACACGAGAGTTGCATCAGTGAGCGCAATCGGTTGGGACTCAATAAAATATACATGTTCGATTATTTTTGGGCGGTTCACGCTGGCGAATGTGACCGCGGTGTGTGAGTTTATTGCCGGAAAATGGCCGAATCCGAACAAAGAAATAAGGATAATAACACGGCAGCGTCAAAGGAAACCATGGTCAAGCAGGAGAAACGCGAAAACGCGCTCACGAATGGCGGGAAGGGCTCGGGCGATGACGCGGACAGCCTCGAGGAATTACCGCTCGACATAGGCGAGCACTATCTCGTGCGCAGATCTGACAATTCTTGGCGTGCGTATTTACCTTACTTAGAATTTTTGTGTAGTGTACGATGATGCCGGTGTTTTTGTTTACCCGAAAGAGACAAATGTCATTTGGGTTCTCTTTAATTCTTTACACTTTGTTTTGCAAGATGCTGTTGTGGTAAAAGAAAGTTTACATTTAGAACATTAATTCAACTTTTTTGTCAATATAATTTTTTATTAGTGGACGAAAGAAATTAAGAAAAGAGATAGATTAAATTAAAAATATAAAAAAAAAGGGAAAAAGAATACGCGCAAATGTGATTTAGATTTGTTGTTGTAATACATCAGATGTGATTGTGCAGATCCTGCCGAGATTATCCAGACCCGTTTCAACGAGAATGAAAATCACTATGAGTACTACGTTCATTATGAAGGCCATAACAGAAGATTGGATGAATGGGTGCCTCGTGACAGAATCATGTCTAGTCGATTTGATATGAGTGAAATAGAACGTCATGACAGAAGTTCGGGAACTGATTTATTGGCGGATTCCTCTGATCGTAAAATTACTAGAAATCAAAAGAGACGTCACGATGAAATTAATCATGTACAAAAGGTAGGTAGGTTGGGTTAGTATATCTATTCAAAAAGTAGATATACTTGTGCTATGAAAGATTTATCTTTTTATGTGAAGCTGGTCTGATCAGTTTACGCTTGTGTATTATTTTATAGACATATGCAGAAATGGATCCTACCACAGCGGCATTAGAAAAGGAACATGAAGCTATAACAAAGGTGAAATACATTGACAAGATTCAAATTGGTAAATATTATTTTATTCTCTGCTTTTATGTTTTTTTTTTGCATTAATGCAAAAAGAATTTCATGATTTTCAAAAGTTTGTTTCTAGGCAAGTACGAGATTGACACTTGGTATTTTAGTCCATATCCCGAAGAATACGGCAAACAACCGAAACTGTGGATCTGTGAGTATTGCTTGAAGTACATGCGTCTTGAGAAAACATACAGATACCACATGGTAAGATTAGAGCATACTTTGAAAATTCATTGAGCTTTTTATCGGAAGCATGTAGTGGGATTTGATGCGATAATTCTGTTTCAGAGTGAATGCACTCACAGGCAACCAGTTGGCAAGGAAATCTATCGGAAAGGAACACTGAGTATCTGGGAAGTGGATGGCAGAGAGCACAAAATATACTGTCAGAATTTGTGCTTGCTAGCCAAGTTGTTTCTGGATCACAAAACACTTTACTTCGATGTAGAGCCGTTTCTCTTTTACATCTTGTGCGAGGTGGATAAGCACGGTGCACATTTAGTTGGTTATTTTTCGAAGGTATCGTATGGATTACTCTGTCAATACTCTTAGTTCTCTAAGTGATTATTCGAGTTCTAAGAAGTAATATATATATTAATAAATTGTGCTATATGCGAATTTTTTTTTTCTAATTTCAGGAGAAAGAATCGCCTGATGGCAACAATGTTGCGTGTATCTTAACTTTGCCGCCTTTTCAAAGACAAGGCTACGGCAAATTACTGATAGCTTTCAGTTACGAATTGAGCAGAATTGAACAAACAGTTGGAAGTCCGGAAAAACCTTTGAGCGATTTAGGAAAGCTGTCCTATCGTAGTTACTGGAGTTGGATTCTGCTTGAAATCCTTCGAGATTTCAGAGGAACACTTAGTATTAAAGATCTCAGGTAATATGTCGACTACATGTACATACATTGTCAGTGTCGAGTATTTTGCATGAAACGGCGCATGAAAAGTAAGATGTATCTTTCAGTCAAATGACCAGCATCTCTCAAACCGACATCATATCCACGTTACAAAGTATGAACATGGTTAAGTATTGGAAGGGACAGCATGTTATTTGCGTCACGCCAAAGTTGGTGGAAGAGCACATAAAAAGCAGCCAATATAAAAGGCCGCGTCTTACGGTCGACAGCAGCGCGTTAAGATGGGGAGCGCCGCCACGAAAGAATGTGAAACCCGGCAAGAAGTAGCATTTAAAATAGGCAATAACAATTTTTTTTATATACTGATACAGCCATTCGATGTTTTAATGCTCAATGAATAATCGATTGCATTGATTTATGATATTCCAATTTCATTAGCCACTTACAAGAACACTTTCGCAAACACACAAACTAGTATCCAACATTTTTCCATTTCGCAAACGTAAAATCTAAGGCCTGTTCTACAATACTGTCGTAAGCTGTAAGGCGTCGTCTACAATACAGTCGTAAGCCGTAAGCCGTAAGAAATTGACCAATCACAGATCAATTACAGAAGAATAATCGATTGTGATCGGTCAATTTCTTACGACTTAGGCCTGGTTTATGCGGGCAATAACTGTTAACTTATGCCGGAACCGGTAAAGTTTAACTATAGGATTCCAATACTTCTGTTTTATACGCATTCGGCAATTTTGTATAAACAGAAGCATTGAAATCCTATAGTTAAACTACCGGTTCCGGCATAAGTTAACAGTTATTGCCCGCATAAACCAGGCCTTACGGCTTACGACTGTATTGTAGAACAGGTCTAACACCGTCGAGACATTCGAAAATATGTTGATAAAAGAGATGTGTGTATGTGTGGATGTAGTTGTATAAATATTTTGCAAAAAAATTGTTAAAACAAAGTTGCTATATTGAGAAAAAAATGTAATTACAATTAAATCCAACTTACAACTAGCGAACTATTTTTCCCGCTAATAAATTGAACGTGAATATATGTACGTACTTTACTCGTGATATAGATTTTACAAGTTTTACTTCTGTAATTTCGGTAAACAGTACCATACAGTATTATATTGCTCTAACTTTCGTATGTGAACTCGTTAATAAAAAAAAAATATATATATATATATATATTTCCAAATAGAAAGATGCGCTGTGAATAATATTTTCTTTTTGCACACGCAATGTACTTATATAATACAAAAAAAAAAACTGATATAACTTGGCAATTAGATTTTGGAAGTAGTAGATTTGTGAAGCTCGATAGCCGTTTTTACAGTTTCCATAGCGGTTCCGGGAGCCATGCAAACCCCGTAACCACCGTGTCCGTAATTATGTACAATCTGCAAGACGAAATAGAGTCAAGATTTATTATTTCACAAAATCTGCGAAGTATAACTTAAATCTTGTCCACAAAAACGCGAATGCTACTAACTATAGCTGCTTTGGAGTGACCATTGCTAAAGCGACTCCCTTCCCCAACCCTAACGCCGCCTTCTCTGTGAGGTCGCAGGCCCATTTGTTCACTCACGACTTCCACGTCTTTCAAGGACGGAATTAACGTTTCGCATCTTTCGCGAATTGCTGCGGTTTCGTGAGGACACAGTTTCATGTTCTCGGAATCGTAGCTTCTCGACCCACCCAGAGTAACTACGCCATCGAAACCTGGTATGACATAAGTGTCCAGTTCACCGTAGAAAAACGTTTTAATCCACGGTGCTTTTACCTACACAGAGATGAGACGCAACTGTTGAACGTGTAAGAAAACATCAAGAAAGAGATTGCTGGCTGATAAAAATAAGTTGTCGTTTAATGCGATAAAAATTGTACTTTGAGCACTTGACCCCGTAGAGCAACGAGACGTTTATCGCCGCACAACTGTCGCGCTCCTAGCCCGGTGCAATTTATTATGACGTCGTATTCGCCGATCAGTTCGTGGAGAAAATTCAATTTTCTCTGTTTAAATAAAACTCCGTTTTCTTGCAGTCTGACGAGAAAAAAAAAAAAAAATTAAAATAACAAAGTTTTTATACACACGCATGTGCAAATCCATATACGCGCATGATTACGCATTTCTTACTTCTGTCTAGTCCATGGAAGATATAAACTGCATTGTGTGAGAAGGGTCGAGAAAAATGATCCGTATTTCCAATTGCCGTTAACCAGTTGAAATTCCTCCTCTGTCGCTCGTCTGTACACCGGCACCACGCGCTCGAGCCAATGATTCTAATTGAACCAATGATTGACCGGTGTCAGCACAAATTGAGACAATAGTGTAATTTAATGTGAACAAATTTAATGTGAACAAAAATTCTTCTTTGACTAACAGGCGCAAAAATTGTTACTTAAACATTTTTAATTTATCCAGAAATAATTATTCTAAACAAATAGAAAGCTATCCGCTGATACAAATCACTTACTTTAACAACGTTCGACGATGAATTAGCGAAGATATATCCGGAAATATCGGTCACTCCAGCGTAAGACGCATTCTCCGTTTTTCGAATAGCGTCGTAAAATTCGTAGGAATTTTTCACCCATTTTCTTAAAAGAATTATTATTACACGTACCATGCGGTTAAAAAATATCGATTCCGTTATAGAGATACACTCTCGCGCAAAGCTTACCGCGGAGATTTCTAACAGAACCAGGTGCGAACTTTAGCTAACATCGAATAGCGAAAACCTTACCTTGTTATCGCGTCAGTCGGACCGGAGAAGGAAGAACCGACCCTAAAAAGTCCCGCGGCTACGTAACTGACAATATCGTCGAAATCTGAAGCTAGGACTGTTATTTCAGCATTGCGGAACAAATCCTTCTGCACAAGTGCGGCCGTCGTTAATCCCACCACTCCGCCGCCGACAACAGCCACCTTCATTTCGCTCTCTTTCCTAACAGCGGTAAAACTTCAATTTTCACAAGTAACAACAATAATACTTGTGCGACAATTGCGTTTACTCTCTTGTGCGTAACGCGAACGTGCAAACACGGCGCGCTTATTAATAGCAGTAGAAATTCTACACACGACACAATTCACTTGTGCGTGTGTGTTTCAACGACAGATCAACCGTCGTTATCATTTGTGCATTTTCTCAAGTGTGTGATACGATGTTTTTTTGATAAAATGCAACGCGCGCACATATTACCGCGCACCGAGTGCTTCATCGTTACAAAACAAATTCCAATTTAAGATACAAATTTATTTATATAAAGTTGCATGTAATATATATATATATATATATATATATTAATTGTTGTTTCGGGAAAGGCAGATGTATTATATTTCAATGTGTAATATGTGATAATTATTCACACGATGTAATTCTATTTTTCACGCACTAATATTATCTACATATGTGGAAACAATTTATCTTTTTGTTAAACTCAAGTTAACGAAAGAAACATATTTCAAAACTCGCAATAACATTTGTCTAAAATTGTTATTAAAAAAAATTTAACAAGGTATCATGTCATATTATATATATATATTTTTCAGTGTGTTCAAAATTGATTTTTTCTCGAAAATCAACACAAGCCTCACACGAAAAATTAAATTTATTCTACATTTACGGCCTTATTTTACACTAAGAAAATTACCTCTGTTCTGGTTGTCCTTCCGCTTTCTGTGTGTATGTGTTATATGCGCGCTTATGTGTGTGTGTGTGTGTACGTGCGTATTTACAGAAAGCTATATGAGGAACTTTTTACTATTTGTTTCTAATATATATATATAATATATATATATTATTATATTATACACATATTAACCAACTATTTCACGACAGTAAAAAAATCGCACGGGAATCTAAATTCTAAATAATATCGGATCGCTACGAGTCACTTTATATTTAGCGTGACAAATTTTTACATAATACGCGCGCAGTTACGGCAGTTTTTCTTTTTCGAACATGTCCGTATGTATGCGATGTTAATAATTAACAACATATGTCGATGTAAGTAATTACATTATATATCAATTGCTATTATGTAAATTTTCTAAACATACAACCAACGTTTCTCGAGATATCGAAAATATACGAATTAAAAATTGATTATATAAACTTGCTTTACTTACGGACGCAATAGATTAACGTCTAAAATCGCGCGATCTCTTGGTCGAAATTTTATACATACTTGGTGAGATTATTTACAATAATTATTAGTTTTATATTCACTTCTAATCTCTGTCTTTCCTTGCAATTTTTTCATTATTTAAATCTCAGCATCAAAATTAATGTACACGCGTTTTTTTTTTTTTTTTTTTTTTTTATACAGTGCAGTACGACACATTAGCGATATCTTCAGCGATTTTTCGCGAGAATAAAACAGTTTCGTCGTAAATAATGTACAAAACTTCGTGCGTGGTTTAAGCTTTACTGCAAGATTGAATGGTATAATTTGGTAGCGGAGGCGGTGGCCTCAAAAGAGGCAGTGGAGTTGGGGGTGGAGCTTGAACGGATGTCAAGGTGGAAGTTGCAACTTGCGCGTGTTCGACCGTCCGAATTGATGTGTTGTAAGCCGAAAGATAACTGGGCCATAAATGCGGCGGCGGTGGAGAACCGGGAGGTGGCGGGGGTGGTGAACGATCGTCCATTTCGTCGGAGTCATCCATCATCATGGCAGTCAATGGGGTAACGCGCGGTTTCTTCAATTTGATTATCTTTACCTATGAACAGCAAGATATAAAAGGTTTTTTTTTAGTTATGCTCTATTTTTCTAGCCTATAAAAATAGGAACATCAATGTAAAATCGCGCACCTTAACTTTCTTCTTTGTTTTGGGCGGTCTTGCTCTCTTCTCTTGTTTTTTACTCTTTCTGTAAAGTTTATCTTTTCTCAAATCTTTGAGCCCTTCGCGGAAGCTTATTCCCGTGGGAGGAGGCGGTGAGGGCATGTCGCCTTCACCACCACTGGGACTGGTTCCCTCGCCCGGTCTTATACCGTCCGCGAACTGAACCGATTTTTTGCCTCTCTTTTTCAACCTCATTGCTTTTGATTTAGACTTGCCATCAAGCCCATCTTCCTCGCATTCATTATTTTTGTCTGTGTCTTCTTTGTCAACATCATCCTGGACATTGTTATCCGCATCCAATGTTGAATCATCCAGATCACCATTAGAAGTCATGTTTCTCCTGAAAAGAAGCCTGTTAATATATATGGCGTGCGCAATTGAAGAGTGTAAAGTTTAATATAAACATAATTTGCCGATCAAGAGAATTTTTGAAAATATTTGAAAAATACTAAAAGGTTGATCTTGACAAACCTATATCCTGGTGAAATCAAAATGCCTTTTAATGGCGGAGGTGGTAACTCTGGCCATTCTTTCTTTATTTCAACTTCCGCTTGATTTTTATTCACATCTGCCGATGTTGTCGTTTCATCAACTTCAATTCGTTGATTAATCATTTGTGACGTTGATTTCTCATCGTCATCGTCATCGTCGTCGTCATCCTCGTCTTCTGCTTCTTCTTCCTCTTCGTCATCGTCATCCGCCTCGGCCTCTTCTTCATCATCATCTTCGTCTTCGTCCGCAACGACTTCCTCATCTTCTTCTTTTACAGGTAAAGAAATAGTCGGCTCATCACCTTCTTTTACAGGATTAATTAATGGAGATTCAGTCTCACTTTGTTCTTCTCCCTCTCGAAGTGCTTTCAAAACCGACGGATCAACAACCGAACCCTTGCGTCGATCCAACATAACACCACCCTCTTGCCGCGCGAGCATACTATTTTTCTCCAACAGTCGCAGAGCTCGTCGATTGGTCCGCTCTATTTTCTTGCGTTCCTTTTCTTTTCTACGTAGCTCGCGTACTCTCTTGCGCTCTTCTCGTTCTTTGCGACGTATTTCAAGTATAGCTTCATAATTGTACACTGGTTGAGCGATTTCTACAATGCAAAAGGATTTGTTGAGTTTTGTGGTGCAAAAACTCGTTAAGTTTCTAGAAAATATTACACAATATTTTATACAAGCAATAAGTTTTCATATATATATACGTACTTTGTTGTTGAACTTCGTTTCTCGAGAATGTGGGAGGAATCGGAATTGGGACGGGAACGGGTACTGGCAATGAGAGAGGCAGTGATCCGGTAGTTGGTATAGTCGGAAGAGTATTTGCCGTTCCAGCTGGTGGTACGGGTAATGGAACAGGTACGGGAACAGGGACGGTAGAAACGGAGGACGTTGATGGCGAAGGTGCCGGAACTGTGGAACATAAAACTCCGCTCGATTGATTTGTGGTCGACGATGATTGATTACCAGTCCAGTCTAACGATGTAGGCACTACTTGGAGAACGTTACCTACGCGTACCACCTGGTTAGATCCAGGTCGCACAGATGGAGTCACGGCTGTTGATCTCTCTCGACGTGTCGACTGAACTCCATTGAAATCAGCAGGAACAACTTGTAGAACGTTTCCAACCTTAAGAGACAACAATGTCATATGTTATAAATGATTTCTTTATTTCTGGATATAAATATGATGAAAAATATCAGCAGCAAATTAAAACGTACCTGCAATACAGTAGGCTGTCTATATATCATTTGTTGTTGCTGCTGCTGCTGCGAAGGAGACGGATACGCGATAATATTGGAATTGAAGTTAGAAGAATATTCCGCGCCAGTGGAATCCTTGCCGTGCTCTCTATGTTTCTTAATACCTAATTCTAATTCTAATCTGTAATGTAAGAAACATACATTAAATCGGAATTTATTATACAGTTGTGTGTGTATAAATGTTACTTATAATTAAATAATTTTACCTATCATCGAGTGATAAACGTTTGGGAGAACTTGTACTCGACTCGTCTATACATGGAGGATAAGTTAAATTATTTTCTGTATAATAATACTCGTTTCCACCCTCAATCTCATTCGAATATTGGAAATTCGAAATGTCCGCGTCCATGCTTCTGTTAATGTTCATTTCCGAATCTAAAATGCTCGTTCCTGCCGTAATCCCCGACTGAACGATTGTTTCTATACGTCTACCTCTTTCGCTGCAAATATTGAATTTTCTGTTTTCACTCTCATCCCTTCTTTCCCTCTCTATTTCGTTCAGTTTATCCCTTCCAGGAGAAAGAGATCTAATAAACAGTTAAGAATCAACTGTTTATTTTCTACACGAAAAGCGAGATATTCGCAATTCATGCAATTCGAATGCGTCGCATTTTACCTGGAAGATCGCAATTCCGACGTTCTCAATCCACGTTCCGGGCTTCGTAATCTCGACATGGCCGATCCTGGTCGCAACCTCGAATTCAACGGAGAACCACTTCTTGATCTAGATCGCGATCTGATTCGCGGTCTTGTTCGTGATAGCGACCTAGAACGCGATCGCGATCTTGATCTAGATCGTGTCCGCGATCTCGACGGCGACCAAGATCTTGACCGCGAACGACGAAATCGCACGCGATTTCGTCGTTCGGTTTTACGCGTATGATGCCCGTGTCGATCCGAGAAATCTTTATCTTTTTCCCACTGTCGCTCTCTTCTCGCGCCAGATCTATTTGGATAAAAAAAAAGTAACGTGCCGTATAATAAGATATCGTGCTTTGTGCTAATTGCTAAATAATTAAGATTTGTTGCATTTAGCAAATTATATCGAACATTATTGTTTCTACTAGCGCTATTTTGTCGATAAAGCTCTTAAGGTACATGTACAAAAGACGCAATATTAAATATACCTTCTTCCATATCTCGATTGAGGCGAGCACGTGTCTCTTTCCAGATGGTCTTCCTTATAGTACGATCGATCATAATCAAGAGGTAGATCGTGTCCAACATAAGAATCTATAGATTCGTTACCATCTCGTAAAATATTGCTATTTTCATATTGCCAAAATGCACGATCTATTTCTTCTGCATGAAACCTGAAATATAAATTTTGTTGCAAAGTCACAATTCCGCAATGTAAAACGTGAAGGATATAAATATGTAGCGATATAATACTCCAAATACTCTTTGTAGATAGCAAATGAAGAAAAATGTTCGTACAAACAAAATATACATTCAAATATATATGTAACCCTAACCTACCCTATAATCTTACCTGTTGTCTCTATATTTTTCAGATTCCAGACTTGGTCTCTCTCTCGGCATCTCTACCGAATCGTATGATCTAATGTCTTTCTCGTCTACGTTGTCGAATCTTCTATTCCAATCGTCGCGATTGCTCTTAGAAGATGATGTGCTGTGCTTCCTAAAGTTATCTGTGCAAATAGATATTAACAATCAATAAGATAATAAATTTTAAAAAAAGATCATTGTATGTTGTTTTGAAAAGAATGTTATAACCTTTTTTATCATCATTATAGTCGGAACGTGGTGGAGATCGACCGTATCTCTCTTTTTTCCTTTCATCTGCTCTCGATCTACTTGGTCGCTCATCCTCGTATCTTTCTCTTCTCTTCTCCCTATCTCGCGTGCTACCGGAACTCTCGTCCTTCCTTTTCGGACTCATACTGCGACTTCTGCTCCAGCTGTGATCGGGACTTCGGCTCTCTTGTCGCTCCCACGAGGATAATGGACTTTTACTTCTTCTCCGCCTTCCTCCCGAAGGGCTCGACTTTCTCCGACTATCTGTATACTCCGCCCTGGTGCTTCTGCTGTCTTTTCTATCGGTCTTTTCCGCATCGTCAGATCTTCTTTCCTTCTTATCCTTATTATAATCGTGCGAATATCGTCTCTCGCTTTCTTTCTTGTGAGGACTTCGCTTCTTTCGTTCTCTGACGGGAGATCGTGCGCCAGATGGAACATCGCTTAGATTTCGATCGCTTAGATTTCGATCGCTCTTGTATCTTTTTCCATCATCGTTTTTGTATTCCTTTTCGTAATTTTCAGATTGATCCGATCGAACGGAAACTTTCTCGGATGGCGGAGATCTGGATCGTCGTACCGCTATTACTGACGATTTAGGAGCTACTGTAAATTCAGTTGTGTCTAATAATTTATTGTTTTCGCTATTACTCGCCGCTCTATACTTCGTGTGAACGATTTGATCCGTTGGTTTTTCGTTCGACTTTGCTTCTTTAGCATCGGTCTTCGTCGCGTGCGACTCTTTCTTTTGTATTGCCAACAGGTCCGACGTTTGATGAGTAGAATCACTTAAAGACGCGTCTAACGACATACGTTTCGGTTTTGCTTGTTCGCTTGTACGTCGAATCAAAAGTTGATTAGGAATGAGCTTAAGTGCCGCCGGTTTTTCTTCGTTCGTCTCGTCGTTACGTGCAATCGAACCCGCATTAGAACTCGCAGCATGCTGTTTACTCTTCAATTTTTCTGATTTGTACTCCGCAAAAATGTCCATACATATTGACTTGGTTTCCGGACACGGTTCATTCATCGGCAAGTCGTCAAACAAACCAACTTTTTCAAATTGATTAAGATCGGAGTTTTTGTCTTCCTGTTGTACTTTATCTAAAATAGTCCCAATTTCGTTTACCTCGTGTTTAGTATCGCGCAGTTTTGTTAATTGCAACGGTATACTGTCCGTAGGAAGTATCAGTTCCTCAGTTGGAATCAACATCTCCTTTCTTCTTTTATCGTGAAGTGGAAGATGAGGGGAACTACTATCGTTAGATAGATCCTATAATATAAAACAAAAGAAAATAGTTATTTATAAGAAGAATAAATTTTTTTTTTATTATTTATCTAAAAATATAAAAAGCACTTACCTGAGACTTTTGAGAAAGAGCTGGAGAACTAGGACTGTACAATTCTATAGGTTTCTTCTTAAACTTGGCGTCTAATCCTAACAGTTCGTCGAACTGATCTCTAGCTTGATGTTCTTTCTTAGTAATTTGTTCCTCGTTTACTTTTATGGGAATTAAATTTTTTATCGACGCGTCCTCTATTTGTTTCACCTGCACAGGCTTGGTTGCTATCTCCTCCAGTGTCCACGGTCTTTCCAGCGATTCTCTGCTACTGTGCGAATTTTTCTGATAGAAATCCATCAGATCTGTCTTAGCGAAGCCTTCTGAATAATCCGCAGTGTGAGACTCTTCTTTCTCGGCGTATTCCTCCCATATATCTCTAATTTGGGATTTTTCTTCAGACTGTGAGTTCATGTCCCAACGACTTTTTCTAACTCGTTTAGAACCAACTAACGACTCGAGTTTTCTCGCCGAATTATCGAGTTTCGTTATCTTACTCGAATCTTCCTTAGCACTTGTATCTTCATCCGATTTATCCCATTTCTTGTCCGATTTGATGATATCGGTAACATCCACCTCTTCTTTATTCTTGCGTAAAAATGATTCCGATTCTATGTCCCAATCATCTTTTTTACGCTTATTCCTCTCTTCCATGAGCATCAACTCTTCCCTTTCACCTTCTTCCTGTTCCTGTTCCCATATTCTTAATGTGAACGAACGTTCTTGTTTCTTTTTGGTTTCTCTAGCACTTTCCTTCTCTATTGCGATATAAGTGTCGGTTTTTTTGTCATATCTAACTTCCTTTTCTATCTTTCTCGATGTACTGCTTTTCCGTTTGCTTAAAATAAGATCTGACATTGCTTCTAAGCTATCCACTTCCCAATCATCCGCCAATAACTGCTTGTTGCAAACTTCCTTTTCGAGCTGTGTCAAAGACGGTACATTTAGTGTGTCAAATTCTGTCTCGCCCCATTTCTCTTTCGACTTGTTTGATTTTTTCAAAAAACTAGCTTCGTTTTGCTGAGTGATGCGCTCAGTTTCCCGTTCCCAATCTGCGAAAAATTCAGTATTGCTTCTATTTTTGTCTTTTTTCTTTTTCCTCTTCACTTCAATTTCCTGATCCGATCTTTCTTTTTCCCCGTGAATTCTTTCCTCATTAATGGTAGACTTGTCTTTGTTGTCTAATTCCACGCTATCACTGTGTTTTCTCTTCTTTCGATGTTTATCTATCTCCGAGCCACTTATCTTTGTCAATTCTACACTATGGTCCTGACTTGACGTATCGCCATCATTTTGCGTTGAATTGTCTTCCCATTGCTCCACAAAGTTTTTGTCAGACTTACCATCTTTCTTTTCTCCTCTCAGTTTCACGTATTCACTGTCATGCACACTCATGTCGGTTTTTCTTGTTGACACGACTTCATCGGATATTTTCTTATCCTCATTTTCTATCTCTTCTTTAATCTTGATCGAATGTAGCAACTTTGCCTCATCTGCAGATGAAGCTATAACAGACGGAGATGGGGACATTATTTTGCTTATGTCCCCGTTGTTAATAGACTTTGCATCAAGTTTAGCTTCTTTTCTTTTCTTCTTTTTCTTCCGTTTTCTTTTCCTACGTCTATCTGAATCACTGCTGCTGGAATCAGTGCTCATCTTTCTCCTTCGTTTCTTCTTTATTCGCGCCTTCATGCGTTTCGTCTTCTTTCTCTTCCTCGTCATCTTCTTCTTTTTCCGCTTTCTCTTTCTTTTTTCGTCCGTGCTAGTGGAGCTACTGCTACTGCTGCTACTGCTGTCTGAACTATCGGAGTCCGAAGAAGATGAATTAATCCGTATTTTCCGTTTACGTTTCTTTTTTCTTTTCTCTTTTTCCGAATTAGAAGAACTGGTGCTACTGGACGAATCACTGCTAGATGATATCTTTCTCCGTCTCTTTCTTTTCTTTTCTTCCTTAGATTCAGTATTTTCGTCACTTATTCGTTCATCTTTGATTTTAACTTTTTCCCAGTCACTCGGAATAGATCTAGAATCGTCAGATTCGTTGTTATTGTTACTTGGATGTTCAGCTTCGGTGTTGCTTTCACTGATCTGTGCTTCATAGTTCGTCGATATAGTAGATTCATCGACTTCTATACTCTTGATAGAACCTTCTGCTGAGTGTAAGGTGCTTTTCTTTTCGAACTTCTCATTCGACTCAACTTCGCTGATCACTTTGTCATCTACCGAGTTAGAATCTATACTAAACTCATGATAACTAGGCGGAGAAGCAAATTTATTAGCAGGTGTTATCTTTGCCGAATAGTCGTCAGCCGTATCTCCCGCGGGTGACAAACTGGTGTGCACGGTTCCATCGGTGCACACCATCTTCATGAACTGTTCATATTCGGAAGCTAACTTCTCATCTCCCGTAGACTGTTGCAATGACGACGAAGTTGTATCGTTAGTTGCCACAGTATCGATTATCTTCTCGGTTTCAGATTCAATGTTTTCTTTAATCTCTTGAACGTTGTTAACAGATTTATTGTCGGCAGTTATACTAGAAGACGTCGAACATCCCTCTTCTTTAAAATAAAAGATAAATCATTTTGTTAATAATTGAAAAAAAGTTTTTTTGAACCAATACGAGGTAAACAACAGATGTAAGTTGTCAAATCAATTAATCAATACTTTATTAATTACCAAACGTTTCGACTCTAGATTGAGTCTTTATCAGTGGTACAAAATTGAAAATAAATCTGTTACAAAATTGATGAAAGAATTTTTTCGATTTTACCATAATGTCTACAATCAAATTAAAAAAGAAGACACATAAATGACAACTAAACAGATCAAATAAAAAAACATAAGTAAAAATACGTTACTTGTTATGGGAGAAAACTGAATTTAAATAAGCGATTATTAAACATTGTATTTAAAATAAACACAACAACTGATGCCGGGCCTTTTACAAACAGCTAATATATACACGAATCCCCTCCAAATACAAAGTCAAATGTTCCCTGAATAAATACAATAACTCAGCAAATGTATAATGATTATTTCTGCTTATAAGATTCTAAAAATGTTTAATATAGTTTTAAATGTTTTGTGTCTGATATGACATTTAAAGCACTGTTCTCTAAAAAATTTTTTACTCTGTAAAAAAATATTTAAAACACACAGAATATTTAAAACCATATTTCGCATTTCTAGAATTTTATAAACAAAAATAAGCATTATACTTTTGCTGAATTATTGTATTTATTCAGGGAACATTCGACTTTGTACTTGGAGAGGATTCATGTATATATTAGCTGTTTGTAAAAGGCCGGGCATCAGTTGTTGTGCTTATTTTAAGTACAATGTTTAGTATACAGTCGATAACAGTCGCTTATTTAGTTTTCTTTCGTGACAAGTAACGTATTTCTACTTATGTTTTTTTTATTTGATCTGTTTAGTTGTCATTATTGTTCCTTTTTTTTTTTAATTTGATTGTAGACATCATGGTGAGAATTTATTAATTTTTTTATGACCACCGATGCGCGACTTTGACTTTTATATCGGTGAGATCTTGTATTATTGATTTTTTTACACTTGTACTATGGTAAACCGAAAAAATCCTTTATCAATTTTGTAACAGATTTATTTTCAATTTTTTACCACTGATGAAGACTCAATCTAGAGTCGAAACGTTTAGTAATTAATAAAGTATTGATTAATTGATTGACAACATAAATCTGCCGTTTACCTCGTATTCGTCCAAACAATTTTTTCTCTGTTATTGATTATCACGAGGTCATCTTCTCACGATATTTTAAATCCTTTTATTTCTTTATAGACACATTGTGTTTATTATCAAAAGCCACTTACGTTGTTCCAGCGAAGCATGCAGTTTATTCGCCGGTTCTTCAAGTTCTTGTTTCTTACTGTCGATGGATAACGCTTCCTCATCCTCGCTGTCCCATCTTGATTTAGGAAATTGCACAGGCACTTGACACTTAGTATCTTTACGAGAATCGATTACATTTATTTGCTGATACCAATTGCGCTTCTGTGGCAATGCGTCTTCTGTGTCTTCTACATTGATTCTGTGTAATTACGAAGATATGAATTATGAATAGTTGTAGGAATTGGATACAAGAACAGCGCGACATACCGTGACGAAGATGTCTCACGTATATCTCGTATCCTCTCACGGCGTTCGGGAGTCACATCTTTCATAACTTCCGAAATATCTAGTAAAAGAGACCTATGGGGATTTTCGCAATACACTAATGATAATCCTTTTGTTTGTTTCGTTGTTCTGATCGATTCTGGTGGATATTTTTTCCTTTTACCATTAAATCCATCAGCTATAAACGGTTGACGTTTAAGACCGTAATAGTCTAACATTAACATCTGTTTGTAATAACGTGAATAATCTTGTGCTGTTCTGAAACACACGTTAAAAAAAAAAAATATATATATATATATATATAGATTTCTTGAATTTTATATTTAAAATATATATCACGAATACCTATTTCTTGGAGATCGTTCCGAATCGTCACGTCTTTTAATGTGACTGATATCGTCGAGAGTTAAACCAGATTTTTGTAAATCCGTCCAAGATTTACATTTTGCTAACTCCTTTTCCTTCCATTTGTCTTTAGTGTTTTCCTTTTTGTCTTTACCTACTGCTTCTATGTCTAACATATCACCTCGTCTGTCTTTTACGTTTTCTTTCTTGTTTCTTGTTTCTTCCTTTTTTTCTCTCGCTTCTTCTTGTTTTTCTTTATTATTTTCTTTTCCTTCTTCTTTTTTATCACGATTTCCACCTGTTCTGTTGGTATCTCGTTTATCTTTATCAGTTTTCTTCTTTTTATCTTTGTGTTTATCTCTCTCTTGAGAGGATCTTCGCGAAGAACGTTCCACACTTCCATTTCGAGATCTCATCTCGTGGTTTGAACGATCTCTGTCAGTCTTATCACGATATCGACATCTTAAAAATTGTTGTTAAATGTTACCAAAAACAAAAACACAAATGAGTAATCAAGAAACTACAATGAGCAAATAATATTTTTATGAACGCTCCTATTTCTTTACCTTTCTGTGTGTTTTTGATTTGTCATTGATCTTTTACGAGACTCATGCATTCTTTCATATCTGTTCTTATTTTTCCCATGTTTTATGCTTTCTGAAAACCCTGTATTTCTGCTACTGTGATTGTCGTCTTCTATACTTGCTAAAAAATTTTTTGTTATTAAATATTTAATAAATACAACGATTTGACATTTGTATTAATTGTGCAAAAGATGTACCTGCCATAGCTTCTGCTAACAACATCTTGTTCTTAGATTCTTCTCTTCGAATTTCTTCAATAGCCAGAATTTTTTCTTCTACACAAAATTGCAAACAATTTTTAAAATTGTGATTAGAAAGACAAATGTTTAACTCTTCAATTATTGTGTATTTTGTGACAAACTTCTTTTATTTTCTACTAAAGTATAGAAAGTTAATTTTTATTATAAATTTTAATAGAAATGTTTATATTATTGAGATACTTTGTAGCAAACGTTAAAGTAATTTAGCTGTGAATATTAAAATTGTTACAGAACTATTTATTTTAAATTTCGTCAATTTTATCTCCAAATAAAATCACCTGTTTTTTTTCTTGGCTTATTTGTATCATCTTGCACTATTTTATCTTTTATCTTTAAAACTCCAGTGGAATGCTTTGACAAATTTGACTTAAGATGAGATTTAGATAATACTTTATTCTGATTAGCAATTGCCATTAATCGCTTTTTGGCTTGAACTTTTCCAAGCACCGGCTTTAAATTCAACTTTGGACTTTGTAATCTTGATGTATCACCATCACTTATTTGACCTTTGGTACTTTCTGGTGTTTCCGGCATTTGTATGTCTAATAAAGAAATTGAAGCATCCCGAGTTGGTTCTTCAGGTACATAAGTATCTTTTGATTGAGGAGTATCAGTGCCATCTTTGTCTAGTTATAGTTTAAAATAATAAGAATTTATATAGAGAAAATAATAAATATTTGTATAAGTATTTATACAGTAAAATAAATAAAATAGTTGAACATATATATTAGATGTAAAAAAAAATTTTTTTTACCTAACAAAGATACTTTTTCTTCTTCTGCCATTTGTGAAGATTTTGATGTTTGCCTAAGATTTAATCTGAAAAAAAAAAAAAAAA